TGATAGCTGGACATGGCTACGGGGGGGAGATGTGCCTGGACAACTAGGCTCCGAGAAGGAGCTAGAAAAGGTGAGAAAGGATGCAAGCTAGCCAACGATGAGACGCTGCACGAGGAGTTGAGGCAGCTGTGGCGAACTTGGCTGGAGCGGAAGGGCATCCGAGACGAAAAGCTACTGACGGTGGCGGAGGGACAATTCCTGTACCTTCGGCTGCTAAGAGCCCTCTTGCAGGCGACGGGGGACCCCAACAGGGAGTTCCTCCTCCGCGCGGAAGAGGGGCTACCTGTGGGGACCCTGGAACCGCTACCACGGACACCGCATGTGTTCGAGGAGCAGTCGAAGTGGGCGCTAGAAAACGAGCCCTGGGAGGAATCACAGGCCTGGCTCCTCGCTAAAAGAGCATGCCGACTTTGTCAGGGCTAAGTTCGATGAGGATGTAGAGGAGGGGCTGATGGAGAAGATGACCCTGGGCGAGTTCAAGCGCCGCTACGGAGGGGGAGCCGTTAGCAAGATGCTCGAAAACACGCACATTCAAGATGGGGAAGCCGTTAGCAAGATGCTCGAAAAACACGCACATTCAAGATGGGGAGCCGTTAGCAAGATGCTCTCGAAAACATGCACATTCAAGAGGGGGAGCCGCTAGCAAGATGCTCTCGAAAACATGCACATTCAAGAGAGGGAGCCGCTAGCAAGATGCTCGAAAACCCGCGCATTCAAGAGGGGGAGCCGGCAAGATGCTCGAAAACATGCACATTCAAGAGAGGGAGCCGTTAGCAAGATGCTTGAAAACATGCACATTCAAAAGGGGGAGCCGTTAGCAAGATGCTCGAAACAAGCACATTCAAGACGGGGAGCCGTTAGCAAGATGCTCTCGAAAACATGCACATTCAAGAGGGGGAGCCGCTAGCAAGATGCTCGAAAACCCGCATGCACATTCAAGAGAGGGAGCCGTTAGCAAGATGCTTGAAAACATGCACATTCAAAAGGGGGAGCCGTTAGCAAGATGCTCGAAACAAGCACATTCAAGACGGGGAGCCGTTAGCAAGATGCTCTCGAAAACATGCACATTCAAGAGGGGGAGCCGCTAGCAAGATGCTCGAAAACCCGCATGCACATTCAAGAGAGGGAGCCGTTAGCAAGATGCTTGAAAACATGCACATTCAAAAGGGGGAGCCGTTAGCAAGATGCTCGAAACAAGCACATTCAAGAGGGGGAGCCGTTAGCAAGATGCTCGAGAACACGCGCATTCAAGAGGGGGAGCCGTTAGCAAGATGCTCGCAAACACGCACACTCAAGAGGGGGAGCAATCGTTAGCAAGATGCTCCAAAAACTCTCGCAAAAACACGCGCATTCAAGAGGGGGAGCCGTTAGCAAGATGCTCGAAAACACGCACATTCAAGAGGGGGAGCCGTTAGCAAGATGCTCGAAAACACGCACATTCAAGAGGGGGAGCCGTTAGATCCGATAGCAAGATGCTCGCAAACACGCGCATTCAGCTCGAAAACACGCACATTCAAGAGGGGGAGCCGTTAGCAAGATGCTCGAAAACACGCACATTCAAGAGGGGAAGCCGTTTATCGCTGCCTTGGCGGTTATCGTGGAGGATGAGGCTACCGGCAAGAAGAGGGTGATCCATGGGGTGAGGGTGAACCGCCGCGTTCTATGCCGAGACAAACTCAGAGAAGAGACTCCGCCAATTCCAGGCGTCGGGGGTAGTAGCCTTCTCGGTAGTGGGTGATATCTCCAAGGCCACCGCAGCTACAAGCGCCAGGAGAGCGAGCACGGCTACCTGGGGTGCCAGGTCGACGAGGAGGAGCTAGAGCCTGGGTGCCTGGTCTACGTCAACAAGGTGGGGACCTTTGGGCTGTCGTGCGAAGTTAGTGGTGTGCGGGGTCAGAGCTACCCACCATCTCTTGGGAGGTGGCCACCAGGTAGAGCTACTTCTATATGCAGATGATCTGGAAGTGCTGGGGATGGGGGTGAGCGGACGGCAAGGGATCCCCCTCCTATCCTATTGCCATGTGGCGGCGTTGGGCGATCCATTCAAATGGGCGAAGACTCGAGGAGGCTTCCGAGTGGAATGGCTAGGCATGGAGACCGAGTATCCCCAGTTCAAGCTAGGGCTCTCGAAGAAAAGGGCCGATTGGTTGGTGGCCTGGCTAAAGGACCTGTCCGAGAAGGGCAAGATCGGGGCAAAGGAGATGGCCCAAGGTCTGGGAAGGTTAGGTTTTGCCGCTATTGCACTGGACTGGGAGAGACCCTTTTTGGGGCCGCTACGTGCGTGGTCGTCTGCTGTGCAAGGCAAGACCGGGCTAATGACCGTCCCCACGATGGTAAGGGTCCTCGCAGCTTGGCTAGCGGGGAGGCTGGCCCGGGATGATAGGCTGCAAAAGACCAAGCTTACCGATACAGGGCCAATCGCCGATGAACTTCTACACCGACGCTAAGGCAGAAGATGAGCGAGCGTGCCTGGATAGGTGGGTTCCTGGAGGTGTCCGTGGGAGGCCACTGCCCGTGGTTTTCGCTAGAGGTGAAGGAATCCTGGGCTCCGTGGGCTTTTGCTAAGGGATCTCCAAAGAAAACGATTGCGGCATTGGAACTCCTGGCTACACTGGGATCTCGAGAGTGGCCATCAGAGGCTACACAGACAACAAGTCTAACGAGGCGCTAGTGCAGAAGGCCATGACCACAAAGTACCCCTCAGGTCTGATACTCATGCAGCTAGCAGAAGAGCTGGCGTCCAAGGACTGCGAGCCGCAGCTAGCCTGGATAAGGCGAGACCTCAACCAGCTAGCAGACGACCTCACGAACGAGGAGTTCAAGATGTTCGATATGGCCTTCAGTATACCCCTCAAAGGGGAGGACCTGGAGTGGAGGATCCTGGATCAGCTGCTAGGGCACGCGAAGGGCTACTTCGAAGAGATATCGTGCCATAAGCGGAAGGCGGAGCTACCGGAAAGAAGATTCCGGAAAAGGACCAGGAAGCTAGATCCGTGGTGATCCGGTCGGCTTCACGTGGGAGATTCGCTAGCTGAAAGCTAGAGTTCTTCTCCCGGATAGAACGGGATCTGCCACTCCGATAAAAAGATAAGTGGTCCGTTGCCAAGAACTCTTGCGTGCTAGTGAGGTATCGGGGAGGTGGTGGGTTTTGAAGGATAATCTGCTAGTGTACGCACTCGTGACTTGCTACGACAGTGTGTGCTAGCAGATGCGCCTGATGCTCGGGACATCGAAGGTGTCCCGCTATGCTCTATACGCCCGAGTGTAGATCTACACTGAAGGCATATGCTACATGTGGAGACATGTTGATACATTTACATGTTGCCATTTTGGGACAAAAGTGCCCCAAGCTAGGGGGGCAATTTTTCTGAGTGCCCACCCTCCCAACCCCGTGGAGATTAGCTAGCTGAAAGCTAGAGTTCTTCTCCCGGATAGAACGGGATCTGCCACTCCGATAAAAAGATAAGCGGTCCGTTGCCAAGAACTCTTGCGTGCCAGTGAGTTCAGTTTATGGAGCGACGCTCCCGCCGCTATACCTCTCGGGGGGAAGGTATCGGGGAGGTGGTGGGTTTTGAAGGATAATCTGCTAGTGTACAAGTGTATCTCGAGTGGAATGTCTGCGAGTACATATGACCTTAAGCGACGTCACGAGATCTACTTCTGAGACTTTTGAAGATGTGAGCCCGATTGAAAAACGATTGAAACGATTGAAATTCAATCGGGGGCCGGATTGAAGATTGAAGATTGAAGATCCCTGGAAAACTTTTTCCGGGAATCTTCAATCTTCAATCTTCAATCCGGCTCCCGATTGAATTTCAATCGTCTCAATCGTTTTTCAATCGGCCTCACGGTGAATATACGAATAGATGGCCCCGAGCCCGATTGAAAAAAGATTGAAACGATTGAAATTCAATCGGGGGCCGGATTGAAGATTGAAGATTCCCGGACCGGCCCCCCGATTGAATTTCAATCGTTTCAATCGTTTTTCAATCGGCCTCACGGTTAATATGCGAACACTTACATAGTAAGATGGCCCCCCCCACCCCCAACCCTAAAACCCTGAAACACGCCCAAAAGAAAAAACACGAACACTTACATATTAACATGCCTCAACCCTAAAACCCTAAAACACAACCAAAACGTAAAAATACGTAGATCTTTTTTTTTTTTTTTTGGGGGGGGGGGGTGCCATATAAATATAAATATAAACATAAAAATAAAAATAAATATAATATGAATATGAATATGAATATGAATATGAATATGAATATGAATATGAATATGAATATGAAAATAAAAAATAGATACATAAAGCCCCCATGTGCGAGCAAGCCCAGTGCGACAGCAAGACGCAGCGGCTCAAGGAAAGATTGGCGGAGAGCGAGCGCAGAATTTTACAACCGACAGAAAGGGGGGGTTTCCGAAATTCGGGGTACCTCATTGGGGTCCTTATTGTAAGGGAATCCTACTATTTCGGGGTCTATATCAGGTCCCCAATTGTCGTAAATACCCACATTGTGGGTCTTGATCAAACGCACAAGGCAAGTCTACATACATCAAGCACCCCAAATGCAACCTCACCAATCAGACAGCGGACCAACACGTTTGCGAAGTACCTCAGCTAGGGCAATATGGTGTAGGACAGACTTCAAAAGATGACCACCACCTCCGAGACACGCAGACCACATCGCAGACTCGTGGAGAGTGCTGCAGGGGAGCTCTTCAATATACACAGCCCCCTAGGAATATGGCTCACCAGAGCTCAGTTCATGGGATTCGTTGTGGCAAACTTTTGACAGCATCTATGCCCATGCTGGGAAAGCAGCTTTGTTATGAAAAGTCGCCGAGTGGGGTGCTGGCTTGTTTGCTTTGCCTTCGGAGAATGAACGTGTGTGTCTCCCTAATTGCCTCAACCCGACAAACCATTCGGCCTCTTTGATGCTGAACCCTACACGCGAAATCCCTTCTACAAAGCTCGGATGCATGCAATGGACTCCTAGGATCCGAACGTTGCTCAAGCGGCTGTTCGGTTTCTACACAATTTCTCGCGCTCGGGCCGCAATGCATGTAGCAAGGTTGCGGCGCCCTTTTGACTGGAGGGAATTCTGGACAGCTAGGATTCGGGTTCAAGGATCCCGAATCCTACATTTCTCAAACTCCAGAACCTCAATTGCCCCCCCCCCCCAGGTTCTAATCCAACCCCTCAAGTCTGACAGCATCTCCTCCTTGCGTCTTGAAGTCGGGTTTCTGGTTGATAGGGGTGTTCTTATTAGGGTATCTAGTAACTCTAGGGGCTCTTCTAAGGGATAAGGGTATCCGATGAAGGGGCCACCGGCCTTTCGAATCCTTGTGGGGTTGCTTTTCAGGCCGAGATCCAGAACCCTGCAGCCCCAAACACGGCAGTTACCAATATCTGGCAACTTCCGGAACTTCAGAAGTCAGCCCTGACACTCGGTTTCGGGTTTAGGGTTTAGGGTTCCGGCCCCCAGGCTATCCGAAGCGTCTTGGGCGCGTACCAGGCTCAATCAAGCAAGACTGCAAGGCCGAAGCTTGAGCCGTGGGTGCTTGTTAGTTGCGGATCGGGAAGGTAGAGCAAGCTGCAGTGTGACGTTGGGTATCTGCTCCCTTCCAGGCCTGCCAAACAACTTGGCCTACTATTACTTGCGGTTCGGCCCAGACGCTGCGCAAGAAGGGCCGGATGCCCCCGCAGTCTTTGCAGCGGGAGTCCGCGTGCCGCTCAGGTGGGCCTTGGCACAACTGGTGTCCGCGCAGGCACTCGAAGCCGCGCAGCGGCTTCTGGATTCCGAGCGTACGGGCAGAGTGGAAGCCAACATCGAGATGCTCGAGATGGGAGGGCAGGAAGGGCAGGGAGGGCAGGGAGGGCCGCCAGGGCCTGAAGCGCCCTCGACGCAGAGCTGGTGGAGCAGCGCGGCGGCTGCAAGATGGCGGTGGACTCTGCCATCCATAACCACTCCAGACATGTGCTTTGGTTCGGAATCTTCAGGAGGACTGGAACCACTGGAACCAGGAGAGATCTGTACTCTGTTTTGCTTGCAGGTTTCCTGTCAGGGCGTGCAAGCTGTTGCCTCATCTGAGGTATTTTGTGGAGCATTGGGTGGTGGAGGACACCGAGCACCTACTCAGGCCAGCCGTCTCAACCAGGTCAGCGTAAGAGAGAGGAACAGGCTCAAGATATAAGCCCTATACCCTAAACCCTAAACCCTAAACCCTAAGATCACCCCGCTCCCACCACGCACTGATTTGTGAATTGGCCCCGCGCCCAAACTTACACGAGGCTCGTTCATGAACATGAACGCCGCCATGGTCTCGTCATTTTCTTATTATGAGGCGCATCGGCATCTGTTAATTCATGTTTTTGGAACAAGAGGCTTGCAGCTGAGTGCTTCAAGGGATGGTCGCAGCAGTCGCAGTCCGGGAGTCTACGGCGTCCTTTTCGGACGCTGTACAGGACCGAGCACCCTTGCCAAATCTTCCCAGTCTAACATCTCCGAAGGTAAAGAGGTGCAGTCTCCGAAGGTAAAGAGGTGCAGTTTCCCTAAACCCTAAACCCTAAACCCTCATCGCCAGAAGCATCGCAGAACCGGGGGATTTTCAGGCCAAGTCTCGGGCTGAAGGGGTTCGGGGCCGACCTCAGCCCACCCCAAAACCACGGTGCCTGAGCAGGCACGCCTACCAGAGCCTGAACGACGATATGCTTCGGCCTCCGTGGATTGCAGTTATCTGTGGCACCCCTTGGAAGTCGAACCTTTTTCCCAGGTGCGTTGTGTAGAACACATTCATAAAAACTCGACGCACCTGAGCCAGTGAGAGCTGGCTGCGTGAACACCTCCGTGAGAGGAGCTCTGTTCCATATCACAGTCTGGGCTGGCGGCATGGGCTGAGTGTCCCAGAGCTGCAACATCCCAAACAGGATCTTGACATGGGCTGCGATCTGTATTTAACCTACTCTACAAGGCGCAAACTTTGGCAAGCTTGACAGCACGGCGCGAAGGTCTGCGATGGTGTGTGCCGGAGTAAAGTTAGATTTCGCGCGCGTTCGGTAACCCATGCTTTCTGCACGTGCATGGAACTTTGCAGAGCCTGCTCCCAATCTGAGAAGCTGCACCCCAAAATTTCGCAAAAGTCCTGCGAAGCTCACACCCCTAGAGGCCCTAAACCCCTAAACCCTAAATTCTAAACCCTAAACCAACCCTAAGGCCGACTAAGAGAGGGTCCGAGGCCTCTGAGAAAGTTCGCGATGGGGGTTTTGCAGAAGTAGAAGTCGATTTCGCGGAGAGTCCGATTTTTTGGTGAAGGGGAATTTTGGATCACAGCCCACCTGCTTTCATGGATGACGGAATTCATGAAGTACAGATTTTCCAGGGCCGCTGTGTTAAAGCTAAAAGACGCGTGGCCCTTTGCCAGTGAGAACTGGCTGGATGAGCACTGCCTTTTGAGAAGCCTCGGTCCTCCCCGCCTGCCTTACATTCTAATGCTTCAGTCATTAATATAGGACGTGGTGTGTGGCCAAGCAGTAATGGAAAGATCGGCGAAGAGAGCTCCGCTGGAATACTTCCAGCAAGTACTCCATACAACTTCACGCCTTGTTCGACTGTGTTGGCCATGTCGTAGGCCGAGAGAGAAACGTTTGCATTCACCGCATTCATCATATTCAGCATTCAGCCGAAACAGCCGTCTGCGTTCTCCATTCCATCTTAGGAATATATTACAAATAACTGAGTATAGATAGTAATAATAATAATCAAACAATTAAATTGAGAATGATAATGAGAATAACAATAATCATCATAATCACAATAAGAACATGATAACAATTGATTCCTTGCGGGCTTCTTTTCTGGGCTTCTAGCCTAGTGCGGTGGCTCAGGGCGTTGCAAGCCGCAACGCAGCTCGATACTGGCGCAGTGCTTGCGAGAAGCAAGTGCACTAGAAATGTTTCTGCCATAGCATGCTAGGCATGCTGCTGGTATGCCTGAGGCAGGGAATGAATCTCAAACCCCTTTGTTTGACGTGGTATGAACAGCTGCCTGGCGGCTAAGCGCGTGACAGCAACATCCACTCACGAGAATTCATGTGATCAGGAGGGCCTGCATCGGCACCCTGATGATGGCTCTTTTGCGCAGACGAACTTCATCCCCCTGTGTGTGCGTGGAGGTCGTGAGTAGATCGTGAAGCAGGGCAAGGTTTCGATTGAAGTGCCGAATGCACACCATGAGTCCGAATCACCAACACCTTGCGCAATCAGTTCAGCCACTAGAGTAGTTCTGAAACACCGGGTTTGCTCCTAGCGGCACTGAAGTCGTCGGGCAAAGCAGGTTTTGGAGTAGCACGAGCGCCTGTTGGTCAGTACCGGTTTCCCAGCTTAAGATATGATTCAACCCTCCTTAAGAAGCGAACGAGCTACCAGCCATCGTGAACTTCCACATGCGGGGGCTTGTTGCTTCATGCATAGTCAATACCCGACAGTCCGTGCAGCGGGCTTAGCGGTGGATATGCGCCTGGCGGTCTTACGTCGTTTGGGTCCTACGCCCCGGCAGAATGTAACTACGAAGTTGACCAGGGTTGTGTGGTGGAATCAATAGAAGACAGGCTGCAAGCCCTTGGGACTCAACCCCGAACTTGGGTGTCGCCCCTTTTTGCGAGACATCCAGTTGACTGCGTTGTGACACTTGTGACCAGACATCAGCCACCCTCCGGCAATGGTGTTTGCAAGTATAGCGAGCCTTGTCCACCAAAAGCTCACAGCATGGCATAATTGGGTCCAATCTCATTTTTCCTTGAGGAGAGTTTCCTCCGAGCGTGATCGCGGGAGACCACCCTTAGGAAGCTGGCGTGGTTCTAGGGCTATTGAAGCCGAAGTTTGGGCAGCAGCTCTTCCACACGCAAAGATGGACTCTCCTCCAGGGTCCTATGGAGCGCCGTGGACAGAAAGGATAGTTTCTGATAGCTCGCAGGATGTTGAGACTTTAGGTGGTGTCGAGTTCCTCAGTAGCCACCCCCAGGTTTACGGGAGGGCCGCCACTTGAGTTCGTTTTTGTTCGGAGTGCGTCGTGAGATAGATCCCTAAACCCTAAACCCTGAACCCTGAACCCTAAACCCTAAACCCTAACGTCTGTCCGCGCCCGTCCCCGGCCAAGCCCCCTGTGCCAGATTTGTTATGGAGGCCGACTTGCCTCATGCCCAATGATTCTCGAAGTTTCCCAGCGCCAAGCTGCAGATCGTGCGGGTTCAAAACATGGCTTGGCGCTTGGTAGTCTGGGGTTTCGTAGTCTAGGGTTTAGGGTTTGAGGCCTAGGGTTTCGGGTTTAGGGTTTAGTTCTTCGGGGTTAGTTGTCCAGGGTTTAGGGCGTAGGGCTGAGGGCTTAGGGCAGATGAAAGGCTTGTGTGCTTTCAACCGCCAGGGACACTGGGGGCCGGCATGACCACACGGGGTTTGAACCCCCTGGTTCTTAGTAGGGAATGAGGGAATTGGGGCCCTATGAATACCCTTTAAGGGATTATATAGGGTACCTGATTGCCTCATTCCCTACGAAGAACCAGCCAGAAATATTGGCCCTGAGAACATCGATTGGGGCCTTTTTTTTGGGTTTGTTCAGGGTAGCAAGAAGGGGCATTTTGGTCACCTCCTGGCTCCTGAAGGCCCTGTGGGTTTCGAAACTGTTCGAAGTGTTTGGAGGGGCAGTGGGGCACTGAGACAGGAAGTCGATCTGGCCATCCAGAGCTGAGACGAGGGCCAGGGGCCTGGCATCTGGGTTTCGACTTCGACCTTCTCATGCGCAAGCGTATGCTGTGCGCAGTGTTGGGGGGGCCTTGTTTGTGGTATTTTGGGCTCTCAGCTGTCCTGCAAGATGCTGAATCTAAGGCGACTGTGGGTGACAGCTCCCAGCTGCGGACGTGGGGTTGCACGCGGGAGGGGAGCGAAAAAACGCGGTTGTTTCTTGGCTGCAGCCTTCAGGCTTTCATGTTGCTGAGCCAGCACAGGATGCATCCAGGACTGATGCAAAGAGCACTGATAGTTCCATGGGCATTGGCTCAGACTCCCTGGACCAACATTCAGCCCTAAACCCTGAACCGTAAACCCTAAACCCTGAACCCTAAACCCTAAACCCTGAACCCTGAAATGCAGGCTCAAGCCTTCCTTGCGTAGAAACCCAACATGCAGCCATACCACTCGGCCATTCAGCCAGATGCAATTGCAAAGTCTTCGGGTTTCGGGTTTCGGGTTTGGGGTTTAGGGTTTAGGGTCCTAGCACACAGACGCAAGGAATGCAAGCTTGGGGTTTTTGGTTCGCGCAACCGCTTCCTCATTACGTTCATGCCCCGGGGTGAATTTCACTCATCTGTGGGTTTTGGAGGTGCTCTCTTAATAAGGGAGTTCTCGTTCACGAGGATCTTTCATTCACCTATTCACCCTATCTTTACACTGGTTCCCGCATGAAGGAGAGAACGGGCGAACAGACGAAGTGACTCCCAGATCTGCCAAAAGGTCCGGAAAACTAGCCCAAAAAGTATGGCTAAAAGGGTGTTTGCAGGAGTCTTATTGTTGGTACCGTGAGCAAGACCCAGTTATAGTACTACGAAGAGAATGCGTGAGCCAAATTACATATGACATGAACACGTGAATGAAATGCGTGAAGTTAGTGAACAAATGAACGAAGTGTACAGGAATTCTATTGACATTGCACTTTCTATCTTATGATTATCACTAGCGGCCTTTTCATCATCTTTTCATTACAGGGTTCTTAAGGGAAGGGGGGCTCACGGGGGGGGGGAGGGTGGTATGTAACCCAAGGCTCCCTAATACTCCTCCAAGACTCCTGAGCTTCCCCAAGGATGCAAGGGGTTCTTAAAAGAGGGGGGTTCTTGGGGGTAGGCACCTAGGGAGCCTTAAGGAAGTTGAGGGAGCCTGAGGGAGTAGTGGGGAGCCTTGGGTTACATACCCCTCCGAGCCCACTCGGACCCTGGCCTTGCCATCCAGTCGGGGGGTGTAGGGTTTAGGGTTTAGGGTTTAGGGTTTAGGGTTTAGGGTTTAGGGTTTAGGGTTTAGGGTTTAGGGTATCAGCTAGAGGATTCACAGGGCTGGGTGGCTCCATGAATAGGCAAAGGGCCAGTCTAAGTGTAGAATGTGTTGGCCATGCAGCCCAGCGGCGGCTGCATGCAGGAGCTGTACGCCCGCTGTGCCGTGTTTCCTTTGAGGCTTTTCGGGTTTAGGGTTTAGGGAGGGGGGGGGAGGTGGGGGCTGCCGAGGGTTTTCGTAGCTTGTAGCGGCTTCATACTGAGGGCGGACCAAACATGACCCACGCGAAGCCCCGGAACTGAGCCACCCCAGCCCTTGTAAGAACCCGAAGGTTTAGGGTTTAGGGTTTAGGGTTTAGGGTTTGCTGTGACAGGGCGTAGATGCTGTGAAGGTTAGGTTTCGGAACAAGCTCGAAAGCTTCGTGGGGTGCGAAGAGCAGCTTTGGCCCGATTGTGGAGGGCCATCTAACACTTTTCTCCCACCCCACGCCAAGGCGGCAAAGCCACACAAACCTATTCCGTTTAGGGTTTAGGCCTAAACTCAGACAACAGTCCACTTCTACAAACTTATTGACGTTCGTTGGGTCCGATGGGGTTGGGAGGCAGTTTCAGGGACGGTGGCAGTCAGACATTGCAAATCCCATCCATGCGGTTGGGGTTAGAAGGGACGGCAGAGCAGGGCCGAGAATGGCCGAAAACAGGGGCAGGCGGCACCCTATATCCCAAGCTCTTTATTTTGTGGACGAACATCACACGCCCCGCCTGGGGGGGTCCGGGACCCCCTGGGCTGGGGTCCTGGCCGCCGAAAGCGTCGCCACAGTCATGATCTGAACTTCATTAGAAGGGACCGGTACTGGTCCCGAGGAGAACGTGTTCCGGTACCGGGCCCATCATGGGCGCTACCGAGCCCCATGCTGTGGAGGCGGGCGAGCGACCTGGGTCGGCTTGCGGCATCGAGGTCGAAGGGCTTAAGTGCCGCCCCCCAACGTCGGGGGGGGACGGCCTAGGCCCTGAGTTTCGGGTTTAGGGTTTAGGGTTTAGGGTGTAGGGTTCGGGTAGAGGGTTTATCACTCTTGAGCTTCAGAAATCTTCGATCCTGTGAATCCTAGACTCCCAGCCTGCCAAGCTCACAGGGATCTCATAAACCCTAAACCCTAAACCCTAAACCCTAAGCCCGAAGCCCTAAACCCTAAACCCTAAACCCTGAACCCTGAAGCCTAAACCCTAATCCAACCCTAAACCTTAAACCCTAAACTCTGAGAATCCAGAGGATCCCCAAGCAACAGGGTCTAGGGTGGAGGGGGCTTGTGATTTAGGGTTTCAGGTTGTTTTTTTGGTCAGGTCTCTAGATTTTGGGTCTTTCTAGATTGGGGTCTCTGTTATATAGGGTCTTGGGTTTATATTCATGGCCCTTTGTGAAAGTTGACCACATTGACTTTGCCGACATGGTTTTTCCCCAGGAGGACACTGAGAGCTCAGGGGATGAGAAAGGTGCGCCCGAAGGGAATTTTTGGGATGTTCCACCTTGTACTAGCAGTCCTTATCAGTAGGGATCATAGTACCCTCGACTATCATCCTATGATCATCCCTAGTAGGAGGTCGCAGGTACCAAAAAAAAACCTGGTGACTTGGAGGTTCGGACGCTGTTTTTGCGTGGGTTTTGGCTGCTCAAGCACAGTCTGCATGTACATTTTCAGGCACGCGAGAATTAGGTTAGGATGCCCCACAGCAAGAAACACTGTAAAAACCGATGTGGTTTTTGCACGTTTATCTTGTGAACCTACACAAATCTGAAATATGTGACACAGAAGTACACAACACTCCTTTCACTTCGGGCGTTCTAGTGAAGGGGCGCAGTTGCGGCAAACAGTCAGTTTTGTGCAGTTTTGTTTTTTTCTTTTATGTTGCTTCTGGTATCAGTTGTTAGTGGTTCGAGCGTCATGACGACACACCGTTCGCATAAGCCTTGTGACAGTGCGTCTTGTTACAGAAACGTCAAACGTCCTGGAGCATGTTGTGTAGAGGAGCAAAATGCTGTAGATACCGGTGTTTTGGGCATGGATAGAGTAACATGGTCGTAACCAACCCCTCCCCCCCAAAAAACAAGAACCAAACCTCTCCAAAAGTTCACGAAACAAGCAGGTTTTTTAGGTAGCTGCTTCCTACTAGGACTGTTAGTATAAGGGGGAACATCCCAGGGTTATTTCGTTAAGGGTAAAGGGGTGCTAAGTTGATTTGCGGGTGTGGCGCGCGCGATACGTGGACGTTTTCTTGAGCGGTGGTCGCATCTTGGAAGTACTTTTCCACAGATCGTACTGTGTTACTGAGAGTTTGAGGCTTCATCTTGACTATGCTGCGATGTTGACCTGACGTCACGAACCGCAAAAATATTTTGTCACCCCCCCAAACCCTAAACCCCAAATCCCTTTACACCGCTAAACGACCCTAAGCTCTAAAACCCTAAACCCCCAACCCTCTCCAACCCTCCTCCCTCCCTCCCCTCGGGGTCCACGGAGGGGTTACCAATCGCACCTACCTTTCTCAAATTATCATCTGGAGGAAGCGTTGCGTAGGTTTTGTCTTTCGAGACAACTAAACATGTGCGGTGATTCCGAAGAGGTGTGGGCTTCGTATATGGATCCTGATTCTGGTTCTACACTCTTCACGGATATGAAGCCCCAAAGGGCCGAAGCCCTTGACCGCGCACACTTCGGGCAGGTGAGGCAGAGGTCGTGGAGGGCTCCCTGAGCTTCGAAGAGTTCAGCAGGCCCAATGATCCTGAATCCCAAGCCCTACACAAAGCCTAAATCCGACAGCGAACCCTAAACCCTCAATCCTCAACCCTCAACCCTCAACCCTAAACCCTAAACCCTAAACCCTAAACCCTAAACTGCCTTACACCCTAAATCCTAAACCCTAAACCCTCTACCCTAAAGGTTTGCACTTCCAGGCTTCTGGTCTCTTTGTGTTTGCTATGGCTCTGGGTACCAGTTGCTTGGAGACCTGCAGATGTCGGGGCAGTTTGCAGGTTACCGGTATACCTTGGATGTTGTAACAGTCCTTAACAGGGTGTCGGTTATGAGGGTTATGAGGGCCAGTAGATGGGGTGTTAGGGATAGTGAGATGGGTTAGGGGAGGATGGAGCCCCGAGCCTCTGACGGATAGAGTACGGAAGATCATCTAGATTACTGTACTGCATACTACAGAGGATGGGATCTCAAGGCTCATAAACCCCAACTTCAACCTCTAAATCAAATCCATCCCACACCCCAACAAAACCCAAAAACCACGGTGCTCTTTCAGCACTTCGCTGCGCCCTTCATAGTGCTTGAGCCATGCACATCGGCATGGTACACTTCTCGATTTGTGTCCTCGATTTGTGTCGTTATCCTGTGCGCAGGGGCCATGCTAATCTGTCCATGAGCAACACTCCTCCTTACGAGTAACCTTCAAGGACGCTCTTGGAGGATGCTCGTACATTGCCCCGCGCACGCACAAAAACATGCAGCCATCGTGAATCCTGCTGGGTCCTCAGATTACACGGAAATTAATTCGAGAAACTCATAGGAACATGCCAAAATGGCAAGCACAGCTGTCCCTGATGCAGCTCCATGTTCCAGTCTACTCGCTGCCGGCCGGTCTTACGCCTGCCATCTCTCGCAGCTGCTTCAAACGCGTCTTGGGAAGGATTTTTGTAAGTAAATCGGCGACAAGAAACTGTCCCGGAGTGTGACGTATCGGGATTCTTTCGAGATGCAATTGATCACGGCACCAACTGCAACGCAAAGCGAATGCTCGGGTTCGCCACTTTCCAAAATCCATCTTCTCTTGCCCTGCCAGAATGATCGATGCACTATTGTCCCCAGTTAAACATCCCTGAAGGTCTTTGTGCAACAAATCTTTCAAAACATAGAGAATACGGATTCCCTGTGAAAGCGCTTCTGCCAAACCATCAGTTTCAGCTTCGCATACTGACCAGGCTGTCACTGTTTGTCGTGTTGAATACCAGTGAATCACACTCCCAGCGTACTGTATGCATCCGCCAGAACGACTTCGCGATGCCTCGGGCGCAAACGAGGCGTCTGACGCGAACGTCAGCTCGTTGCCGTCGCCCTCGGGCCCATAAAACAACGTCTCATGAAGAGTGCCACGCAAGTATCTCCATAGGCCAGTCGTAAACTTCTTCACAGCTGCAGGTCTCCGATGCATCATTGAAGCTCCCATAGACACTGCAGCCAGCAAATCTGGTCGGCTGCGAACGCCGACCCAGAGTAATGCGCCGATCTCCGACCTAGCCTCGGCAAGTGCGCGGGCATGCTGCTCATCGACCTCTTCGGCATCACCCATCTCAAGTTGGGGCAAAGCTTGGGTCCCTCGCAAGTGGATCCAACCACGCCTGTTAATTTCTTGAAGAATCCACCGTCTCTGACTCAGCTGCACACCACCCTCGTGAAAGGAGATTTCCAGACCCAAGAATGTCAAGCTCGTCTTCCGTGACATGGAAACTCCTTGACATGACAGAGTAGTTCCCAAGTCTCGCGCCAAAAAACCTTGAAGCTTAGTTCGCCACTGCGAGCACACATAGGATAAGAAAGCCTCTACGACACTTGCCTGACCAACGACAAGACAGTCATCGACGTACATTGTAGCTATACCGACCAACTTGTCCTGGCAAACCAGCTTCCAAACCCCATCGCTCACCCGGATGCATGAGATATCCTGTCCTTTGTGGTTCTTCAGCTTTGCCTTGGCAATCACTTCGTCGCGATGCTTACTCCAGTCAGCCGGTGATCGTTTCAGGCCATAAATTGCCCGCACCGGTGCATAGACTGTATCTGAGGCCAACAAACCAAGCTTCTTGAGAATTCCCGGAGGCTCCAAGAGGATTAGTTCGTTTCCCCCCAGGGGGGTATTCAAGAACGCGGCCGACACGTCCCCGGCCCCCATCACCCAATCTGGATGCAGTGCAGTCTCCTTTGCCATGGTTCTCAGCACATACATGTCCACGTTGTTTGTGCTGAGATCTTCCGGAACATCTTTTGGGTTCTGATGGTTTCCACATGCCACCAGTCTCACCTTTGGCTCATCCGTCATGTTGGTTCCAGGGTCGTTCACAGGCTTCAGCGTATTGACGAGCTGCGTTGGAATTGGCCTTGGCAGTACAACATCAGGACTTAATCCAAGATCTTCGTGAAGATGGTTCTTCCTCACCTCAATCCAGACTTTCTGGTGCACCGTCATGTTGTCCAGCTCCCGCTTCGCAGCCTCCATCCACGCCTCTCGTCTGGGCCCATAGAAAACTTCATTTCCCACAGACTCAGCACTTGCCTTAAACCCTTTCAGCTCCTGAGCCAATCTTTCTTGTTCATTCATGTCTGCTTCTTCGTCGTGTTGCAAGACTTGATATCCATTCGGCTCCACGATGCTCTTCTCCAGGTACTTCTGGTAGCAGGCTTGCGCAGACTTTCCGCACACCATGCATTTCTTATGACTCAACCACTCATGCTTCGCCAGCGGTAGATCTGCAGCGGTCACCTTGCTCGCTCGAGGATGGTCATCGGCTCGTGCAGCTTCCTGGAAAAAGTCGAACCCACTTATATCTCCAGGGCCTCCTTCTCGTTCTTCGAGAGAAACCAACCCCACATCTACCCCCAGATCCCGGACAAGGTCGGCATCCTTGATGTCTCCGTGACTCGACACCCACACCAAATCTCCTGACGGCGTGCTGTGAGTGCGCCACTCCTTTCTCGGAGCAGATAACTTTGCCGGAAGTCTGGCTTTCATAACTGCATCCTGGCCATTTCGTTGCACCAGACACAAGGCTCCCTTGCTTGTTGCTTCATCCCTGCAAAGAAAAACGGCCTGAGTCACCTTTGGCTCGAAAGGTTCACCCTGGACTCGATTGACCACCACTGTCGAACCTGTGATAGGCTGTCCTTTGGCCACTCTCAAGCCCAAAGCTTCCTCCCGCTGCACGATCGAAGCTTCTACCATAGCGTAGGGCCAGAGTCTCACGCCAGCGCCAGATTCAAGCAAACTTCGCAGAGCCCTCTGTTTCAAGTCTCGAATCGCCCGCTCAGCCTTTCCGTTTTGTTGTGGATTATAAGGGACCGTTACGGTCTTGTATATGCCTGCTGCACCCAGCTCTTGCACCAACAGCTCTGAGATGAGTTCCCGCCCATTATCTGAATGGAACCTCACAACAGGGGGCACTGCTCCTGCCATAGCTCCAATTTGGCTGATGATCTCCTTGATGGCAGCCACCACATTCATCTTTTGTCTAGTTCGTAGCGGGCGAGTGAAATACAGCGAGCCATTTTCGGGAGTTGCAAGTGCACAAACCACCATGTACTTGAATCCAAAAAGACCATGCTTGTAGGGCCCCGCAATGTCTACACTGAGGCAGCCTTGTGCAAAATCATCAGGTTTCAAGCGTCTATGAGGCTTCAACGTTCCGCGAGCTTGATAATCTTTTAGACTGTGGCCAGGAGGTCGCTTATGAGCATACTCTTCACCTGAACCCAGAGGTCCAACATCTTCTTTCGGCTCCTCCTGAAGTTCCAATGAAGGTTCAAACTCTACGCCCTCCTGAATCCCATCTTGCGCAGCAGGATCTGACCATGGATGTTCCAAAAGGCCATCGTGGTCCTCGGCCAACAACCGCTCATCAACACTTTCACGCTCCCAGTCAACAATCTCAAAAGCCATGGCGCGTCCATCATCGTCGGACTGCTCTGCTGCTACTCCCTGAACGCCCTGAACCTGAGAATTCCCTTGAACGTCCTGAAAACACTGACCAATGCCTGAGCTCCCTGAACATCCCTGAGGTTGGGGTATAGGAATTGTCGGCTCAGTGGTTGGGTGTATGCTCTCAGTGGCTTCGGTGTTGATGCTGGTGTTTCTGCTGTTGGTGATGCTTATGCTGCTGCTCTGCTGAAGCTCCAAAGCAAGTGGAAAGCCCATCTTCTCTAGACATTTCAGCTCATCCGTGGTTGCTCTGCTGGCTCCTCGTGGGGTATACGCAGTAAGAGTCGTCCTCTCACCGCTCCAACTGCATGATCCATGCCACACAAACGGGGAAAAGGTCACCGGAGTCCGGCGTATGTTCCACGTCCTACCCGCAACTTCTTTTCCAGGTCGAACTTGTCGTACATCCGGTCCATCAGGCTCTGCCACCCATATTTCGCCCCCCTGACCTTGATGAAAGTCATTCAGGCACACTATGGTGTTCTTTGATCCCCGCATGTTCTGGCTGTCGCGGTGAGGTCGAAAAACCACATTCCTGGCGAGGACGACAGTGGTGAAAGCAGAGTTGCTCTCCAGATTTGATATCAATGCACATAGCACCTTCGTCAAGAATGGTCGCCTTGTACACATTTGCGTCAAACCGTGGCATCCACCATGTGACCACAACCCGAAAGTCCACAAGTGAATCAACTCCACTCCCTCAGCTCCGCCGATGACCTTCCTGCGTTTTTTCTGAGGCTTCAGGTTCGATTTGTCCAAAAGAGTCAATACGCTTTCGCAAGTGATTTCCTTTCTGCCCTTGTTCCATAACTCTGCCGCTGCCTTCTCGTCCATCTGCAGCTCATCCTCCAGAGTCACCACCTTCTCAGCCATACGCTCCTCCTCAACCTTGACGTGATCCTTCTGGCTAAGGATGACCGCCTTATGGACTTCTGTGCGATGGGTCTCCTCCTGGGCTGTGTAAGCTATGCAACCTCTTTTCGCACGCTTCCAATGTTGTGTTATCATAGGGCGTAACATCTTATACGCACTCCAGGGCAAATAGGGCAGTCCATTGATCACCTTCAGCTCAAACCACTCGCCTCCAAGCTGAGGTGGAAACTGAAGCCATGCTCCTGTCTCTCTCCAAACAAAAGCACACTCCACTTCTGTCAGCTTGCATATGCCACAGATCACCGACCCCGTCTCTGGGTTGCCCTCGACCAGGATCTCCCCATCTCGATTCCGCCATGCCTCAACCAAGCTTCCATCCGCTAGTTGAAGAGGTGTTCGAATCGCTCGCTGAGGAACATGATCTTGTCCTGACCTGACCACTTCATTCGCCCCACTGTCAAGCAAAACTTCTGATCCACTATGTCCCTTGGCGACACTCATACTGGCTCGCGAACCTCCATCTGTTCCAGACTCTGGCCCACGCCTCGTAGTTGCTGGTGCTATTGCGCTACTGCTGCTGCTCGTCGTCGGGCCCTGCGCAACTTCCGGCCTTCCGGGTCGAAAGCTTGACTCAACCACAGCGATGAAGGTCTCAGTGTCCTCCTCAAGATCCATGAGCCAGACGATGTATCCTGGCCTCACCACTTGGTCCTCACACATGATCAACAAATCATGAGCTTCCACAATTCTCTGCGTTTCACTGATGTCGAAGTCATAGATCGGAAAAACCTCATCTTGTCTCTCTAAGAAAAATGAAACACCCACTGCCACCTCGAACGGGCTCGTCACTCCTCTAAAGGGTCGGCGAGCTCGAGATTGTATGTGACCCGTGCTGCTCCATGTGGAGAACTCATCTGGGTCCAAGTGAACCCACCATAGTGGTGGCCGCTGTCGTCTTACCCTCGCAGCTTCTGCGATGGCCTCTCCTAGTTCATCGATGAAGTCAATCGGGATGTCACCTGCATTTTGGATTTCATCGCCAGTTTCAGTTGAATCAGGAGTTGGTGTCGAAGCCGAAGTGGTCAACGTTTCAACCGAAACCACTGATTCTTCCTCGGAAGTCTCAGGGCTTACCCTGCGCGCCATGCCTGCAAAAGAAATTGCTGAAGCTTTCGGAGGTGGTGAGGTCCTGCTACTTGTGCCCACCAAACCAGCCGCTTCTTGTTCTGCCTTTGCACCCTTGGCGATATCCTTCCTGAACTTCTCGTCATGGCTATACATGCAGTTCTTTCGGTGACAACCAGCTGGAGTAAAGAAAAACCGACACCTTCTTCGTATCATGAGCCTTTGAAGAATTCGTAGGCTGCGGATCCTGTCCTTTTCCAAGAGGTCCTTTTCCTTGGTTCCCTTTTGCCTCCTTTCCTTTTCCTTTGGTCTCCTTTCCTTTCTCCTTGCCTTTTCCTTTTCCTCTTTCCTTTCCTTTTCCTTTCGATGCCACACTGTCGCCTGCTCCGCCACCACGCTTGTTGTTCTTGATGGTCTCGTCAGCAGCAAGGATCTGCAGCTGTTGTTCTATTAGACTGATCATGGCTTCCACACCTTGCGGATTCGGATGAAGAACGTCAGGTTGGACTCGTAGCAAGCCCATGAGAGTCTTGAAAGATTCAGATCGTCGTTCCACGTTGCGAATCAGAGAGCTCAAGGCTTGCACTTCTTCAAACGAGGCTACGGCGGGCAGCTGCAAGTCGCGCGCCCGGGTGCGAGCTAGCTTCCACCTCCTCAGAGTTTCCAGCCCCTCCTTTGCCGAGTGAGCCGGATCGAGATGCCTGACAAAGGCCTGGATGCTCTTCATCTCCTGCTGTCCTCCAGGCATCTGTTCCTGAAAGATACACTCCAGAAGGTGCACTCCCCGAAGCTTTGACGATCCCGTCTTTTCCAACACTGGCTGCTTAACTTCCTGTGGCAGACACCGTATCAAGGTAAGCGTCATGGAGTCAAATCAGGCAAGTTGTACTGCCCCGCCAGTCGCTTCTGATGTCGTTGTTCCGCCACCGCGTACTCCGCCTGCACGTACGCCCCGAAACCAGGACTCACCGTAGTTGAAATCGTTTGGAACTGCAACCACCATGCCTGAAGTCGCATGTTGCACTCCCACGCTTCTCCTCCTCCCACCGAAAAAGAAGGAATATCCATCAAGACTTTCCATCTTCCATGCGGCACTGCTTCCGCCATGGATCCCTCTGTCTCAGTGGATCTATGCTCAGCTGCCTGCTTGGAGTACTGCGGGGGAAGTCCTGGAGGTTCAGTCCACTGCCATGTCCAGGCATCGTCCTGACCATAGTCAGTCCACTCACCGGCTTTCCCAGCTTCTCCTCCTGTGCCCCACCAAGCATCCTCAGCTGCTGCCAAATCGGTCGGCATGTCAGGAGACATCTCATGCACTGATGGTCCGTCTCGCTGGCTGATATCTTGAAGCTCTTCCCGAAGTTGCTCCAGGCATTGCCCCGTTCGCTCTGCATGTTGTTCACCTGCCCGCATAGCCTCCCCAGACTGATCAGCCACTGCCTCCACACGTTGAGTCAGCGTTGCCAGTTCTGCATCCACACGAGCACTGACCTGGTCCGTAGTCAGCAAGATTTGGTCCATCCGCTCTCTGAGCATACGTACCAAGGTTTCGTTTGAGCTGCCATCTTCCGCTTCCTGAGTTGCCTTTGCAAGCATTCGTTCAAGATCTGCAGAATTGGATTGTGTCC